ATTTTCGCTAGTATGTCCTCTATCCGGGGAAGCGGGAAGTGATCCGGGATAGTAATCTCATTTAAAGGGCGAAAATCCAGGCACACGCGAAGCGAACCGTCCCTCTTTTTCACCAGAACAGTGTTGTGTATCCAAGGAGTGTCGCTCTCGACAATGCGACCGGCTCGCAAAAGTTTGTTTATATGTTCGTCAAGTTCTTTTTGGAATTTAACAGGTATTCGAGGTGGTCGAAAACGCGTAGGGGGTATGTCGGTGGTGGTTCTGATGTCAATTTGTGAATGCTCGTATGACCCCAAGTCGTACGAGTCGTGTGAAATTCTGTCGCTAAATTCTTCGAACAAAGCTTGAAGTTGCTGCCGTTCTTCGTCTGTGACTTCGGCTTTGGACAGATCGACGTGAAAAGTATTGATGTTATTTGAGAAAACTGGGCAAATGGCCCTGTTGGAAATTGCCGCTGTGGTGGTGGTGTCGCTAAAACCACCGTGGAGAAACTGCCAGAGTGTGATCATCATTTTCGAGAAGGGGCGAAGCTGTGGCGATCTTCTGACCTTTGTACAAGACCTCAGCGACGCATGACGGGTTTGTGGCGAGAAGTTGGACTTTACCCGGGACGAGGACTGCCGGAGAGATCATTATGTTTTTGTCAAGCAAGTTGTCAGATTGCGACGAGAGAACTATGGAAGAGGCCGGGGTGGAATCTGTGATGCAAGTAACAAACGTTTCAGTCTGAGGCTGGAGTACGGTAGTCTCTGCTACGCGTACTGTAATGGGCGTGGCTGTACTTTGCGAGAGGGGCGGGGCCGAGCAAGGGAGGTTTCCCGCATGTCCTGTGAAGTGGAAGGCCCTCCGGTGGTAATCAATAGTCCAGGTGGGCAAACGAGACAAGAGATCGTTACCCATAATGATGTTATAGGAGTCGGCGGTTTCGGGGATACAAGCGGCATCGGTAAAATAGACATGATGATCGAGCTGGATGGGGCCGATTTCGAAGCGAAGTCCTGCTCGACCAACTAATTTGATGGGTATTCCCGCCATA